AAGAAGAAGAAGAAGAAGAAGAATGAGAATAAGAATAAGAATAAATATAATGAAAAAAAATAAAAACAACGAATAAGGATAAGACTAAAAATAAGACTAAGATTAAGCTTAAGAATAAGAATCATGATAATAATAGCAGCAGTAGTAAGATTAATATTAATGGTAATATCACTGACAGCAGTGATAATATTAAATTAACGATAATAATAATAACAATAAGAAAAATATAAATAATAATAATAATAATAATAATAATAATAATAATTTAAATAATGTAAATAATAATTACAATAGCGATAGCAGCAGATGCAGCAACAGCAACAAAAAGTTGATTTTAAATTTATTAAAATATTACGAATGCGGACAACACTGAAAAAATAACATAGCAGAAAGTGGAAAATGCAGCAGAACGAAGAGGCACAGTTGCTAAATTTATAGTTTTTTCATAATGATACTTGATATACCGCTAAAAAATTGTCAATCATCTCAGGAAGCAACATTTGAGGCTCGACCAGCAAAAATTAGATTAAAAAAAAAGTAGGAAAACATTTTTGCTTTCTACACAACATTCTTCGCCTTACTCTTTACTCCCTTTCTGTTTGCTTCTTCTTCTTCTTCTTCTTATCCTCTTCCTCCGTTATCATCTTCAACTATAAAATTTTTCTTCCTCTTTTGCTTCTTTTTCTTCTTTTTCTTCTCTTTCGTCTTCTCGTTTACCTCTTCTAATTCACATTATTATTTCTGCGGCTCGGTTCGTTTTCCGGCATCACTTTGTAACTTTGATCGTTGTTCAAACTTTTCTTTTTTGAAATTCTTCCATTTTCGCAACTGTGTTTTTTTGCCGTCAACGTGTATGCATGTGACAACTATGACTGCTTCCGACAGTTTCAACCAACCAAATCATCTGGTTTTATTTGATAAGATTGAGTAATAGCAGATCAACTACTGTCGAAATGATCAAGACAAACATTTTTTCAAGCCCGCATAAATGGCTCATAAAAGGCAATTTTAGCGGCAATAACGACGACCGAATCCCTCAACAACTTTATTCCCACTTCATTTTAACAATGTTACTATGTGTAATATTAAAAAAGAAAGATTTTTTTTTTTTTTTTTTTAGTTTGGACATACTGCTCATTTTTCTTTTGCCTATTTAACTATCTATGCAAATTGATAGATACATGAAATAAATATTTGTGTTTTTGTATGTGTTTAAAAGGATATATCCGAATAAGATATATTGTATGTATTTTATGCGCATATAAATATAACTATAAATATAAATTTAAATATATATATATATATATATATATATATAT